TGTTTTCTAATCGCAGCTTCCAACTTGCGTTTTGGTAGCGGTTTCCGGCGTTTTGACAAAAAAACTAAAATATTTTTATTAGAAATTATATAAAACATTAATATATATATTGGTGATGATTTTGTTTAGTGTTATGATTTGATATTATTTTTTAGTATTATATTTTAATAAAAAAATACAATAGTATAATTTTTAGGTTTAATAATGATTATTTTTAATAATTTTTATAATAAAATTATTTTTTTACTTAAAAATAAATTAAATTGATAATATTTATATTTTAAATTTATTATTTAATTATTATAAATTTAGTAAATAATTTTTATCAAATGATACGAAAAATTTAATTAAAACTATTATAAAAAATTATTTTTAAATAATATTTTTTTTGACAATTTATATCAAAACGCAACCGCAACCGTAATGAACCATTCACTTCTAACTGCACTCACCCGCAATCGCTACCAACAGCAACTTCTCAACCAGTCAGTACTAATCATTCATAATCGCTATCAAACGTTCTGAAAACGCTACCACCCGCAACCACAACCGCTGCGGTACAACCAGTCGAATCCTTAATCATACAAGTGGTGGTAGACGTCATATGGCGGGAACATAATGATAGGATTTTTCGGATGAAAACACTATCGCTTCAAGACCTACGGATCAAGGTCGATCGACAGATCAGGACTATGCTCTTGGCTTCCCATGTTGCAGGAAAACGCTCCACTATGGGATGACTCGAGGATTAGTACTACTTAACGGACGAAATTAGGAGAAGACGTATGTTGTAACTTGTGTTCTGTTTTACAAAGGAAACACCAAACCATTTTGGATTTTTTTTTGCCTCATGGGAATCCCTTTTATATAGCAGCCTATAGAAAGTACTAATGTAAAATTCTCCTTTTGATTAATACACAATCACATTCAATCCAAAAAAAATCATTGATCAAAATAAAATTTTACCTAGAAATTGAATCCAATTATATATATATATATATATATATATATATATA